CGTATCATGTTTCTTGATACAATATACCCATTTTGGACGCTGCTCATGGACCATGTTCATTGCGTGCTTCTCTAGAATCGGCCAGTGTGCAGTGCCTCTCTCTCATTGCACATTTATTCCTGGGCATACTTCGTAGTAAGTGTTCCTGGATCTCCAATCCCGCACCATCTTCTCAGTTACACCGTATCTTCTTGAAGCAGCACAATTGTTGTGTGACTGGGCATATGCTATCACTTTCAGCTTAAAATGCACAAGCTTCATATCTCCTGCGTTTAACAAATTGGAGCCATGGTGAGGTTTTTTTGTGGCAGCTGGATACAGTATTAATATACCCCAGTGTTCACACGGGAGAGAGTGCTATTGCTTATGGAGTGATAACTCAAACAACTGGACAAGGCAAATGAGGAGAAGGGGCTCACTCTACACATGACTCCGACGTGGTCACCTACACATATATGGTAACTATTAAGAATCAAACTCCGAATCAGATGACCTGCCTTCTTCTTCATCATTGTCATGCTAAATTTACTAATTGCCGGTAGTTAAAAGAATTAAAAGTCATTATTGAATATCATGTAAAAAATAAATGTTAAAATTAATTATTTATAGGAGAAACGTATTATGATCAATAAATATATATATTACACACTTTGAGACACAAAGACGGATAAAAATAGTTCATCTCTCTTACAGCTGCCAATGGGAAGCTATGTTGGTAATTAAATTTGATGTTTATTTTCAGTTTGTCTAATTTATCATGTATCAAATTATTACTAGAAATTGTGTAGTAGTAGGCAGCGCTACCAAACAGGAGGTAACATTGCCTGGGAAGATATTAAACATAATGTGTTGTTCACGGTAGACCCTGCTGCCATATGGCATCACTTAAAATTGTGACCAAGTCCCAGGTTGTTGACCTGACTTTCTGTCTTCATTTACACAATTGCAGGGTCTCAATTGTTTCTCTTACTTTAATAACACACACATACAGTATATTATTTTCAGTTTTGATCTTCTTTTTTTTTTTTAATTTTTGTAACTATAAGTTAGTTACTTGCACAAGGCCAATTCAATTTCCCAAGTAATGGCATCAAATATTACCAGCTGGTGTAGTGTAAACACCAGTGACGCTACTTGAGCGCCTGGTAATTAACCGGCTTATAGTTTCAGCACTAATGCACCAGAGTGGTCATTTACTGAATATTCTTTGTGTAAATAAAATCTAAATCAATTATTTAGAGATAAATATTATTATGAGTAAATATGTACGATAATGTATGCATTACTGACCACCTCCACGGGCTAAAAATAGCCCAACTCGTGGTCATTTTCCCTTTGGTTCTCACTGGCAAATGGGGGCGTGAGGTGATGATAGCTGTGTTTATTACAGGGTATAAATCTTTGCATTATATGTATGGTGCTTTATAATATATTTTTATAATTTTAATATACCGTAATCTTAATTTGAAATCCTAGCTTGCCAAACGTAGTTTCCTTGTGCATAAAAATAATTAGTGGTAAGACCTTGTGAGTGGCTTATTTATGTTTCTTTATCACTCACTCTTGACACACTAAACCACAACATGAAGAGGTAAGAATTTTAAACTTGGTGGTTTAGACTCCACCCCCAACTTTTGGGCAGATTTTTTAATGTTCATTAATATACACACTTCATTATTTGAGGATATTAGGGTCCAGGGTCACATGTACAGTATACTGTAGTACTGGTATATGTGAGGAATAAACAAAAAATATATTAATAAATAAAAGAAAAGAAAAAAATTGCAGCAATGCCAGTTGGCAAATGTTTCACTAAACATGGAACATGGGAAACTGGAGTGGCTGAGATCCCCAACATTGTTCCATCCTCCTCCCACGATCTGCGCTCTAACTACTGTACCGTGCATTTAAGAAATGTTCATTCCCTTTATGTTTATGACCTTACGATAATCTTCTTTTTTTGCACATTTTGTATGAACGATTGTGAGTGTGTGTGCACGACATTTGTAGATGAGTGTAAACATTTAAGCTTGTTTGACTTAAGTACTGTACTCCATTGCCATATAAAGAATTCTAGAATGCACAGCGTGTTTTTTCATGCTGCGGTTTGGAAATACAGGTACAGTACAGGCATTAATTTCTAAAACCTGCGAGTCCTCATGCATGGAAAAAACACACTCATGTGAAGCGGGCCTTACAGCTGAATATGAAAGCTGCAGCTAGCCCATGTAGTTTGAGATATTACTGTAGGGATTTAAATTTTCCTTTGCGAATATCTAATAGGGGTGTTAAAAGATCAATTGCAGATTAGCGGGGTTGCGATTAGTGAGATATTCCTGTATATAATAATAATAATAATAATTAACGGTTTATTGAAAGAGCATGGCAGCCGGAAGGCTGAAAATATACAGTTGCATAATTGGGGAATGGGTCTCTTGATTTACAAATAAAATACAAGTAACATAAGTGATACAAATATGATATATAATAACTAGGTGGGGAGAAGCTCAAACTACAGGGCATTTCAACATAGTGACAGTGCAAAAAGTAAGAATGACTGGAAGTGAATACACTGGTTGATTACAAGTTACAGTGGTCCCTCGGTTAACGAGCACAATCCGTTCTAGTAGGTTGCTCGTTAATCGAAAAACTCGTTAACCGAAACCATTGTTTCAATGGGTTTTTGGGTAATTGGTTCCAGCTCACCGAAAATTGCCTAAATTCAACAGAAAATGTAGAAAAGTACACTTACTTTGAGGTGTGTATGTAGAAGGCTCCTGGATGATGATGATGATGATGGGAATTAGAATGGGGGTGGAGGAGAAGGGAGAAGAGAAGGCATTGGGTTGGAAGAGAAGTCACCCCATGGCGCCATTTCACCCATAAAATTTTTGTTCTCTTGGTGTAATTCAAGATTATTTTCTTTAAATCAACACTGCACTGCATTATATATTGTTAATATGTAAAATCAATTTCAAAATGACCAATAATTTGCTTGCAAACACAGAAAAAAAGCGTTTAGTTGAAGAGAGTCTCAAGCAAGATGTTACCTCCACTGAAAAGACACAAAGACTGACGCCTGTATGGTGTGTTGAGAGGCTGGATGGCGCGCATAAAACTAGTTTCATTACCTTCAATTATGTTCAATAATTGTTAAAATGACTAAAAAATTTAATATTAAACTTTTAAAATTATTGAATAGTATAAACTTCTTGATATTTGCTAAAATGGTAAGGAATTTAAGCCCTAGAACCGATTACTGTATTGGCAGACTAATACTACAGCTGGTGAACCTCCAAATGCAAGCGAAAACATGTTCAGGTCGGCCCGTAAGAAACTCGTTAATCGAGGGATTACAAACGAAGTTAAGAATCTTATGGAAGTTAACTCGTTAACCGAAATCTCGTTAACCGAGGCGCTCATAAACCGAGGGACCACTGTATTGATAATTTTTACAATGGTTGGGACTGGGCTGTTCTTATAGCGATCAGTTCGTGCTCGTATGGGCTGGATGCGGTTGTGGTGTCGAACAGCAATTCTCGGGCGAGGGATTTCTGGTGTTAGTAGGAGTCGGTGTTGAGTATGGTGCAGAAGCTTCTCACCAAATTTGCAGATGAGGTCTTGGTGATGGTCAGTGAGAGCCGAGAGGGTCAGTGTGTTGAGCGCTTCTTGATATGTGAAGTAGGAAGGGGAGAGAATAATCTTGCATGCCCTCTTTTGCACTTTTTCTAGGCGTTTACGTTGTGTGGCATTTAGGGAGGAAGACCAGGTAGGGGAGACATAGGTTAGCTTGGGAAGTATGAATGTTGAGTTAACACTGAGGATCTCGCGTGCAGGAACTCCGAGGGACTTGAGTCGGCGGAGGAGATGGACACAGAAACTGGAGGATTTGACAACTTCACTGATGTGTGGTTTCCAATTTAGTTTGTTGTCTATGGTGATGCCGAGGAGCTTAATGCAATCTGCAACCTGGAGTGTGTTGGGACCTAAAGTAATGGAAGGGGGTGGGACAACGTCGGAGGAGAGGTTGATGGTCTTGGTATGGTTGATGGTGATGTGTTACAGCACTTCCTAAGGTGCTGTAAGTTATGTGCTAGATTATGGGCTCACTTATGGAGTCCGCTACCAAATTTTTGTTTTGAGTATACCGATCGGAGACTGTAAGTCCTGTTACGGGGTAAACAAAGAGATACAGTCCCATAAATTTTTTTGAGTATGCGGCCCCTGATAAGATGTGTAATTTAGAGTCGATATGAGATGCGTAGTTTAGAATCTTGGAAAACTTTCCTCAGCACCCAGAAACCTGGAGATGTGGGTAGTGTCTGTCTGTGCAAGACGCGTAGTTTATACTCTCGGAAACCTTTTCCAGTACGTACCCAGAAAAATTCCGGGGAACTCTCCCGTTACCCGGAAGATCTCTGGCTAATGGGGAGATCATTGTACTGTTAATTAGTACGGACTGACTGTTATTCAATGGGGTTAGAGACCTCAAAAGTTTTATATCCTGCTCTTATAATGATTAAATAATGGCTAAATAACTCAAATAATTTGTAAATAGACAAAAACAATAAATTTATGCAAAATGAAGACATAAACACAATAAATTTATACAATATGAAGATTTACTTTCATTCACCTTACATGATACTTATGTGTACAGCTGCAAGTTGCAATTCCCCAGCTGTCATTACAAGTAATTTCAGGTAGACATGTATTTTTTTTTAACATTGTTGCATGCATACACAATTTTTCATACATAATTTGCTAAAAAATTATTATAAGGTCAAAAACATAAAATGAATAAACATTACTTATGTACTGTACATGAGAGTTAGTGTGGATTATAGAAGGGGGAGGGGGGTGCAGCGTTGGGATCTCATCCTTCCGCCCTGCTGTGAGCTGCATTATTGTCATTTTTCAACTTGAAATTTCGGGTAGATATACTGTATTATTTTATTTATTTTTTTATGCACACACAACTATCCATACAGAATGTGTAAAAAACAAAATACAGGTGCTCCTCTTCTTAAGAACGTTCAACTTACAAACTTTCAGAGATACAAACATCATCACTGAGGGGGGTTACTGTCAGAACAGGTGTTTAATGTGGATGAGACTGGATTGTTTTGAAGAAAATTCCAGATAGAACAAACATTACCTAAAAGAAGAGTGAGCCAGGTTTTAAGGCTGTATTAAAGGGTATAGCTGTTCTAAATATCCATAATCTTTTCATTCTTTACAATATGTTTGGTATCTACAAGAGTAAAGTTGGACTTACAAACAAGCCTCAGGAACGTAACTCGTTCGTAAGTAGAGGAGCACCTGTAAAAGAAAATCCTAAAGTCAAAAACAGAAAGGGAATAAAAATTTCTCATGTGTGCAGGACTTAACACATATAGAGGGGGGAAAGGGAGCTGCATGGAAGTCTCAGCACGCTGTTTTGTGAGTAGTGACACGATTGCCAAATGGCAATGCAGTTTTCTTTATTTATTTTTTATTTATTTTTATTAATTTCTATTTATTCCTCATATTTACTGGTAAAGTATATTATGTATTATGTTATGTACAAAGAATCGCTTCTTCCACACGTAGATCATCCTCTGGGCAATTGAACGGTTCATCCTGACAGTCACCATGGACGACAGAGCCTCTCGTGCATCCCGTGTGGGTCGCACGTGTTGCACAATTCTAAGATTGCATTAGCATATCGGAATACTGTATTGCGAGTTATTGCACATCACTTTTTCATAGCATTGACACTGAAGGAAATGCATTCAGGTAGCGATCCTCATAAAAATTATCTTAGCCATCGCTTAGCAGTAAAAGGTGTTAATTTTTTAACCATAAAACTGATCGAGCGTATATAGATCCTTAGTATAATGTTCATTGCCTGTAGCTAACTACTGTGATATAGTACCTAACACATAAAAAAATTAATAATATAAATTTTGTATATTAACATAAGGGACCATATTCATACAAGCGAGAATAGCTTTAAAATAGTGAGAAGAGGTTTAAGAGAATAGGCTCTTCATACAGTATAAGCAAATACAGTATTCACAGAGTGAATGTATAGGAGTATGTGATGTTTTAAATAGAATTCACATAAAGGAAACCTGCTTAGATTGAGTGTTTACTGCATAGTTATATAAAATTTAAAGAAAATACAGGTACTGTACAGTATAGCTACATATGAATTTTCATTTATGTTTCATTAAAAGCTTGCAGAAAGTGTCAAGTATTTCAAGTTCAACAAAAAAAGGGTTGAAATGATGAGCAAGGCAGATGAAGTGCCAGCAGAATGTGATGGCATTGTGTACTGGATGTGCCGTGATCAAAGAGTTCAAGGTTTGTGTTACTTTATAATGAAAGCTGATTTTTTCAATATACAGTACCTCCTACAATCCAAACAAGTTGATGATTATAATACATCTTCTTGTATTATTGAATATACTGCAAAATTGAGACCAGATTTATGTCTCATGCATTTAAATACTCATACTTCTTATTTTCAAGATAATTGGGCAATGCTGTTTGCTCAGCGTTTAGCACTGAAAAACAAAGTGTCTCTTCATGTGGCTTTCTGCCTCATTCCAAAGTTTCTTGATGCCACAATTCGCCAGTACCACTTCATGTTAAAAGGTAAGCTTTTTAAAAGTTGGTGCAGGTCATAGTTTGAAATTGGTGCATGCCTGGCCTCACTCTATATTTTATTTGGTTATTGCCAGATGATTTTATTCAGCACAGAGGTGACCCCATACACAAGGGTAAGGTCAATTTTTCCTTTTTTTTCTTTTTTCTTTTGTTGGGTATTAAAATTTAAAAACATGAAAAAAAATTATTAGTTATGATATAAAGAGAATTGAAGAAATAGAAATCTGACAGGGTTGTCAATGTTTTGGTAAATAAAATCTGATTTATTTGATTTAAACAGGATTTTTTTGTTTTTAATTTTGTAAAAAAAAATATAAATACATACTGTACTGTAGACTTTTTCCCTTGTTGACTGACAACTTTTCCCACTCTTCTCCTCCTATGGACTTGTTCTTATAACTGTATGTAATATAATTAATTATATGAGATATATCTGTATTAAGGATTCATGGGATTCCTGAGAGGGACATTCCTGGACTGGGGTGGGGATGACTAATGTCACTTCATCCCTTTGAGATGTATTATTATTATTTTTTTATCTCAGTAAACATATCAATCAATCAATTAAAAATTAAGGAACTATGTTGGTACAGAAAAGGCAGCTAAACTTGTCTTCTTTTTATCATTCTTTCAAAGTTTTTGAATGCAGACACTGGTAATGGTTGTAATGTGTGATGTAGCAAAGACTAAGAAACATTAGAATTAGATTTTTATAGATGTCAAATGTTGTGATTTAGTTGGTTTTGCTTTGTTCATCTATTGTATTTGCAACTCTGAAGTACAGTATGCCTAAAACAAGTTATTATTGCCTTTAATACTGTACTTAAATGCAACTCCTATATGTTTGAAGTACAGGTTGTACCTCTCTAGTCCGGCAACCTCGGGACCTGACCGGTGCCGGACCATGGAAATTCACCCTTTTCCTGGATAGATAGTGACTTGTGCTTATGCCTGGAAGCACTAGCACCACTTTCTCTGCATCATGGTCTCTTTGAAGACATATTGAAGAGTTAAATGTCGTATAGTAGCTTCTCAAATTTTGCGAGTTTTTAATTCTTAACGTATTTTATTGGAACACACAAAAAAATGAATAAATAAAAATTTTGCTGGTGGAAACTTGAATTTCAATGGGTTTGAACGGCCCGCCAACGTGCAGACGACGTTCATAATCGTGTAAACAGTGTCATTTCTCTTCTGTACAAAAGATTCATTATTGTTTATTACTGAATGTCTTTTTTATAGAATTAATGTTTATGTGTGCAAAATGAGCAGTACAATTCATTAATAATACGTAGAATATTAAAACACATGAGGAAATGAGACAGCATTGTTTTCGTTGATTACAAAACCAGTGACTGACTGGTTCTACATATAAAACTGAAGAAAATAAGACCTTGGTTGTAGCTGTAGTAAAACTAATATGGTTGTTTTAAGTAATGTTATTTAATGTTAATAAATGGAACAATAGAAGTAGCTAGCGAAAATGGTAAAGAAAAAAGAGAGATCGCGTATGTAAGTGCGCATGCGCACACGTGAAAGCATATCGTCATTACTTTACATAAGAATATGAAAGCAACACTTATTTACTGTTCATATATATTTTAATTAATGTTTCTGAATTTGTTTTTATTGAATTAATGTTTGTGTGTGCAAAATTAACAATACAATTTATTAATAATACGTGGAATATTAAAACACACGAGGAGACGAGACGGCTGCCGGCATTGTTTATGTTAAAGCTTACAAAACCAGTGACTGATTGGTTCTACATATAAAACTGAAGAAAATAAGACCCTGATTTTAGCTGTAGTAAAATTAATGTAAAAAAATAATATGGTTGTTTGAAGTACCTGTAATGTTATTTAATGTTAATAAATGGAACAATATAAGTAGCTAACCATTAATGGTAAAAAAAAAAGTGAGACTGCGCGTATGTAAGTGCGCACATGTGAAAACATATCGTCATTACTCTACATAAGAATATGAAAGCAACACTTATTTACTGCTCATATATATTGAAGGGTTAAATGTTGTACTCTGTATAGACAAGCAGAGAGAGAGAGAGAGAGAGAGCAGCCGAACTGCCGGATGTAAACAAACCTTAATTTCCCGCGGCTTTTTTTTTTTTTTAAGGGGATTAGCCCACCTGGGCACAGGTTACTGACCCACATTGGGGCCTGAGGAGCAAAAATTTAATACTCCTGTAATAATAATAATAATTTAGATAAGTTATAAAAAAAAAGAATAAAAAAAAGCTGCCTATCTACCTATTGGACAAACTAAAATTGTTCCGGACCACGGGAGTTTCCGGACCACAGAATACCGGACTAGAGAGGTACAACCTGTAGAAGTACAGTACAGTAATACATGTTAGGGAAGCAAAGTGGTATTGCTTTCTTAAACCTGTGTTTTTGTTTCAGTTACAAAACAAATACAGTAAAATCCCGGTTATCCGGCACCTACGGGGATTGAGAGATTGAGACTTGCTGGATAAAGAGTTTTCCTGTTCGTTGACACTCATTCTTAGGCTTCCCCAATAAATTCCTATAATGCTACAGGCTGACCTCACTAATTGGTGTCTCAGAAAAACAGACTTCTTTAATACTTATTCTACTCTATATAAATGATGTGGCTGAGAAATATAGAAAATATAATATAAAAATACAAAATAAGAAACATGAAGAACATGGGTGTGTCCTGTATGTGTGAGAATTGAACGAGTGTGGAGGTGGTTATAGCCAAGACCTTGGTTATAACTACGTGGCCGACTCGCTAACCTCGTACTGTATACTGCTGCCACCTACTATAAAGATATTTATGTCTGAAGAATAACTTAGGAAAGAAAGGGGTTATAATGCTCATGCATGACAGTTACCCATGATAACCCATGGGTTATACTGTACTGTACTGTACAGTATATCATAAATGATAATTTATTATCATCTCATTTCTAATTACCGGTATACTTCTGATGCTTCTCCATTCCTTCTAATTCTTTTTCAATTTATTTGCAAGGATTTTTCTATTATATTTATAAGGTTTTTATAAGTGTACCATCTTGTTTTAGAAATAAAATTACTGTAGTGCTATGCATGAGTGTTGTATTCATGGAACTCATTTTATAAGCATTCTGAAATATGACTTTGTGTACATAACACTAACAGGCTTTATTATTTCAGGTTTAGAAGAAGTTGAGAATGAATGCCAGAAGCTGGGCATTGAATTTCATCTTTTGCATGGTGAAGCCAAGGATGTCCTCCCAAAAATCATTGAGGAACACCATATAGGTGGTTTAGTGACTGATTTTTCTCCACTTCGTTTACCTCAAGAAATGCTTAAAGATGTGAAAGAGACCATTCCTAAGAACATTCCAATGTGTAAGGTAATGTAAATTTTTTGATTGATTGTCAAGTTACAGTTGCAGTGCATCTCAAGCCTAAGAATTTTCTGCCATTTGGCTGACTGCCTACTTACTCAATGCCAAATTGGTCATTCATAACCCTTTTCATACATATACAGTATCAGGTACCATGAAGTGACTGGAATTGTGCTGTTCCATCCACTATGGGTTAAGTTTAGCATAAACATGGAGTAAATCAGTTATTTTAAGGTGATCTGACCTAACAGTTGTAAAAATGCTAATTTGCAAAGATTGATATATGGTACCGGTAATGGGAAAAAGGAGTTATGTAACAAGCCCACCAAAATAACTTTGAAATCCCAAAACATGCTCCAGTAAGTTATTTATGGACTGTAAAATGATAACACAATTCATTCAAAATGTTTCATTTACAGTAGGGTCTTAAAGTATGCGAGGGTTATGTTCTGGGAGCACCGAATAAGAGTGAATTTTGCATATGCGTGTTCGGGTCCCCTCTTATATATATGTAAAACCCATTTTCTATACTAAACTAACCCTACCCAAGGTTAACAACTGTGTGAACTCCCACAAACTACAATATAGAAACAGCCTAAATTATAAAAAAATGCACATGAATATTATAAATATAAAATTTATACAAGAAAGATTCGCATAAGTGTTTTTCTTGTTGAGAAACATTGAGGCTCAGGTTCTTGTTCCTCTTCTGAAGGTTATACGATCTTACTCTGTTACCATTAAATCTTCATTCTACAGCTTCTTGTGGTTCGATGCTAACAAGTTTTTTACATCAGCAAAACTCACTTGATGGGCAGTGGTTACTATATCTTTTACTATGGGTTCAGTTTTTGGGAAGCCTTTGAAGTCATTCACACACTCTGCCCAGAGCTTCTGGGACACCATTCATGTTTGATTCTGTGACATCCTTCCAGGACAGCAATATTGAGTACAACGGGTACAGTATTACACTCACTGCTACATTTGTGATTATTGTATCAACACCAAAATAGTCTGATGTAGTATCAATGTTGCTGTTCGATTTCTCATGTGTTATCCTGATACACCACCTAACCAGTTGTTTACAGATTTTCTTATATCTCAGAATTGAACATAGGTTAGATATACTGTACTGTAGATCTAAGAAATATTTTCCTCCCCTCTTATATTCATATACTGTACAAGTATATATAATTTTTACAATAATTGACATCAGCTCTTCAAAAATGTACTTGCACATATCAAGGGTCTGGTCTACACTGCATTTTGGCCAGGTTCAGTTTGGGATGCCCATGATACACAACAATTGTAACTTCAGACTTCTCATTCGTATAACAAAGCACAGGGTAAAATATTTTCTTCGTGTCTTTGAAAATTTGTAAATTCTGGCGTGCTTGTACTGTAAATGTTCCAAAGTTATTGCATCTGTTTAATAAAATATCACAAAATCTAGAATTATTAAAAAAAAAAATTTAGTTTTAGATATAAAAGGATGTTTGTCATTGGTTGAAAGTTTATGAGATACCAAACAAAGATTAACATTTATATGGTTATCATCTGTTGTTGTTATTGACCTCTATCACCAAACAATCTTCAGTAGAAGTCCAAAAATCTGGACTGCTTGGGGATTGGGTCGGTCAGGATTTTCGGATTTTCCGGATTCTCAGGCAGTACTTTTAAAATTAAAATTTAAGGAGGAATAAAGAAGAGATGAACAGGTACATTTTGATAGTTTATTCATTAGCAATTAAAGCATGCTTCATTTATCAAAATGAGCCGTTTTAAAGAAAAATAAAGTCAACACTAGACAAAAATGTAAACAAACTGTCTAATACCATGACGAGTCTTGAAATTCCTAAGCCATCCATCACTAAATGCGCACTCTGATTCAAAGTTCATTTGCTCCTTAAAAGACTTTACTTTGGCAATAAGCATCGGCCCAGAAATTGCCATACCTTCTGATCGTTTTAACAAAAACCATTTGTGCAACACTTTATCAAGATTTTCTAATGTGGGCCAATGTAAACTTTTTCTTTCAGCAATTTTAATGTAAGGCTCAGAAGAAGCTGTGAATTCTAGAATTTTATTCTTTGCCTTTTTTATATCATAAATTGTAGACTTTCCAATGTCGTATGTTTCCATTAGAACAGCATTGCTCACACCACGTTCTAGTTTCTTAATTATTTCAAGTTTGTCACTCAATTTCAATGTGTTCTTCTTTCTCTTTACACAACGAAGTTTATCTACTTTAGGAGCCATTATTATGGGCTTGTACAGTACTCTGTAAATGGAAAGAGTAGGACTCAAAATTACACACGTTGTCACAGTTTGATTGCTTGTTTTAAAGTGGCTATCGCGTGGTCGTTTGTTGTCGCTGTGCAGCTGTGGCATTCACTCATGCACACATACACACAAAAGATTTATAGTGCCTCAAATTTTACATTTCAGTTCAAGCTAATTACAAAACTAACAAAATTAGCTACCTATAATTTACAGTTACTTTTATTATTAGAATTATGTAAATTAATTTTTAAAGTAACTCCATTCATTCACGTAACCCACAAAAGCCCGCTAAATTTAAAAAATTTGAGTTTTCGAAAAGTCCGGATTTTCGGGTGGTCCGGATTCCTGGCATCCGGATTTTTGGACTTTTACTGTATTTTGTGTATGTAAATTACTGAGACACTATGAAGGTTATATACAGTACATATCAGTTAAATATTTATTTTGCACTAACAGAGTCTTCTGTTGTAAATGTGATGTGAAACTGGTTATTTTACCCCTTGTATGTGCATGTCGGCTAGTAGTTGAAAATTTGGTTTTATAGTTTTCTTAATTTCAGGTTGATGCACATAACATTGTTCCTTGTTGGCTGGCTTCAGATAAACAGGAGTACTCAGCTAAAACCATCCGTAGAAAGATTCAGGATAAACTTCCAGACTTTCTCACAAAATTTCCTCCTGTTGCAAAACATTCTCATGAGAGTAAATATAAAGCAAAGGTAAGTGTGTGAAAGAAAGAAGAAAAGAAACTGAATAGCCAGATATTTAATTTTTATTTGTATGAGAAACATGTTGTAAGAACCCATCTGTGCATGTGCTTGTGTATATGTATACAGTATTCTCTTTGTGATGTGTGTGTGTGTGTGCGTGCCATTAAGCTGATTTCGCTAGGAAGACGAGAACAAATGCCAGTATTCTTGCTGACACCAACTGTAGAAGCATTGAGGCTACCATTATCCATGAACAACTACACTGGACTGGCCATGTTACCCACATGGACGACCGTAGACTGCCAAAGCAGCTACTTTACAGTCACCTAACGAATAGTAAACATAACGCTGGCGGGCAACTGAAAAGCTATAAGGATAGTCTTAAGACAAACCTGAAAAAGTGCCAAATTGACCCCCTCACCTGGGAAACGATTACTCCACACCGTAATGCTTGGAGGATCACCACACAAGAAGGTGTCAATACTTTCGAGTTAGCCCGACTGCATAATGAGGCAGACAAGCGCCAATGCTGGAAAGACACTGCCGCTGCCCCTCCAGTAACATCTGTGATCGACGCTGCCAGTCCCGTATCGGCCTCTTTAGTCACCTCTGAACTCACCAACCTAGGTGACATCCTTCATAACTCATATCATTGTATCATAGCTGGATGATCGTCATACTCGATCCCGAGTGACAGTAAAGTAGTAGTAGTAGTGTGCATGTGTGTGTGTGTGTCATATTAAAGATGGATGTGTATTGAGTTCATGGCTTATTCTACTATATTTCAGTGCTCTTTTTTTCCTTGGTGAAATTGCTTTTCCATCAACCATTTTAGAGGACTTCATACCAAGTTTTGATAGATAATTTATATAAAAAATGGACATAAAATAATGCTGAATCTGTTCAAATCGAAGACTCATAAAGAACATTTTTTAATCATATTTCTAGCTGGTAGACTGGACTGCTGCTGAAAAGAGCCTAGAAGTAGACAGGACTGTGAAGCCTGTTGAATGGGCAACTCCAGGAACACATGCTGGATTAGATACCCTCAATCAGTTTTGTCTCAAAAGACTCCGAAAATATGCTACCCAGCGGAATAATCCTAATGCCAAGTCCCTCAGCAATCTCTCCCCTTGGCTACACTTTGGTGGGTTATTAGTGAAGTAAAACAGTATGAGCATACATGTGTGGATTGTATTAAGTCTATGTAAATAAAAGTGAAATTTGATTATTTCACAGGTTTCCTCTTTTACTAACACTGGAGTGCTTGGTACAGTATTATCTAATTCCTTTATGCTTTCTTATATTTATTATATACAGTACAGTAGTACCTCGAAACACCAGACTAATTGGGGCAGACCCCATTCCGGACAATAGGGTAGCACAGGTGGGTGGCTCCCTCCCCCATGATCCCTTTAACATGTCTTTATACAATTTTACAGTAATTCTCATATCATCAAGGTTAATTTAGTGCCGGGTTAAAAAAATATTGCCATAAAATACTTAACTTTCCCTAAAAATTAATCCCACATTCAAAAGGCAAACAGCTGATTGGACTAGCTCCTTCACCACTGCTGCTTATCAAATCATCTGTCTTCAGCACTTAGTAAATTAGTACTGTAGTGTATTTATCATCACTTAATAATACTATTGTTGTGTATTTATCAGAACTTAATAAATATTATTTTATGCAACTGCATATTCTCAATTTTATTCATTAATCAGTTGTCTAAGAATACAAGTCGCCAAATTGAGCCATCATTTATCACTCAAACATAATTAATAATATTGTTAGGAAGGTAACTCCATATCACATACTATACAGTATGTTATAGTGACCCAGTTGTAAGCTGATTTGCTGAAAACTCTCATAGGAATGCATCCTGAGTGAATGCCTTCCAATACTGCTTATCCTTTTATTTTCAAGTCAGATTACAAGTTACATATCGTATTTTTTTCTGTTATTGAAGTTGTTATATTAATCTTGACTAATCATACACCATAAGAAGCTGATCATACAAGAATATAATACTGAATCAATAAATAAACCTAACGAATGCGGCAAACCCAAGCCTTCTTCCATAAGCAGTAACACAGTGCCTTAGCTCTTGTTAGACCTACTACAAATCTGTTGTTCTTTTCATGAGATTTTTAAAAATCTTAACCATTTCTTAAAATATGTACAGTACTCTACATTATTTTAACCCGTTTCTTAACCCTCATATGCTGTTTGAGAAGAAAACGCATAAAGGGTGGCAGACATCCTATGATGTTTAGGTTTTTGCACCATTTTTTGGGTGTGCTTATGGCTGTGTTATTGTCTGGTTACTATTATGACACTGGCAGCTCGCTCTAGAGCCGGAAAAATATGTAGTACTCCATTTCAACTAATGATTTCTCCAAGAAATTATTATTTCTCATATTTATTGACTAAATATAAATCTGTAGAAAAAAGATTCAGTTTTCTAATGGTGTAAAAGGATGAAATATCTCAATCAGGGTGCATTTTACATATATTTGAACAAATATTATCTTATGCAATTTGGTCCGTTTTCTACATAGCGAAATATACTCCATCCTGGGCAGACAGAACACATAAATGTGCCTGTCAATAAAGGGTTAAAACCCTCAAGTATCCCCGCTAAAGATATTATATACTCTACTGTACATAAAAAGTGCACGTAAATGAGTGTAGGTAGCGAGGTGCAGCACACTGAAATGATACATATGAAGGCAACCTCCATCGAAAGACTGCTAGGGGATGATATTGTAAACAACGCTATTTGCATTGAAAGACCACAGGGGGTTGAAATTTCTGACCATGGCCAGGAGTACCAGAAGGTCAAATAAGAAAGAAGTGTTAAATTCAGAATTTTGGAATCTCAATCGTTCATAGAGCGAGGGATACCCGTACAGTGGTCCCTCGGTTAACGAACACAATTCGTTCCACAGAGTTGTTCGTTAACCGAATCCATTGTTTTAATGGGATATTGGGTATTGGTTCCAGCTCACAGAAAGTGCATACAAAGTAAAAAAAAATGCAATAAAGTACACTTACTTTGAGGTGTTTATGTAGAAGGTTCCTGGTTGATGATGATGATGGGAATTAGAAGTAGGGGTGGAGGAGAAAGGAGAAGAGAAGGAAGTGGGGATGGAGGAGAAATCACCTTTTAGGGGACCCATGCTTGATGCAGTAATTTCACCAATAAAATTTTAAGTTCACTTGTCATTCAAGATTATTTTATTTAAATCAACACTGCACTGCTCTATATATTATCAATATGTTAACTAAATTTCAGAATGACCAATAATTTTAAAGTAAATGCAAAAATATTCAAGACACCAGCAGAATTGATGTTCATTCCACTGTCAACAAAGCCAAACTGACGCCTGGTGGGTGAGTCAAGCGGCTGATGGACGCACAAAAAACTAGATCCCTGTACTGCATATATTATCAATATGCTAACAAAATTTTAAAATGACTAATAATTTTAATATAAAAAATGCAAAAAATATTAAAGAGCACAACTTTCTTGATATTTACTCCACTGGAAATGAATATAAACATAGAACAGATTACTGAATTGGCAGACTAGCCCATCAGCTGATCAGCTGATGCTCACAACAAAACGTGTTTTTCGTAAGGATTTCGTTAATTGAAGTTATGTTCGTTCACCGAATTGAAGATCCTTATGGGAGGTAATTCGTAAACAGAAATTTCGTTAATCGAACCGTTCGTTCACCGAGGGACCACTGTACAGGTATTTCAGGGTTTTTTTTTCAATTTTTACTTGCATTTCCTATATACTGTACACCTGTATGTACTGTACTTGTATGTACAGTCAACCCTCACTTTACGCGGTCCCACATTCCGCGTTTTCACGTTTACGCGGTGCCCTGCCAGAACCCAGGATGCTCACATTCCGCGGTGGGTGTACCCCTTTACACGGTGAAGTATAATTTTTTTATTTAGCTCATAAAATTCATACAAATTATCCGGCCAGAATATAATTTACATTGCTGGAATTCTTACAATTTGATGATCATTTTGAATATAAACATCATAGATTTTGCATTAGACATACAAATTTTAGATATAATGTTTACTCTTGAGTAAATATGTTATCTTTTGTGCAAAATATATGATATTTATATTCAAAATATTCCTGGTCTTACAAGGAATCCAGCAATGTCAATTATATTATCCTAACTTTAGTCTGATTTATTATTTATTACTAAAAAGGTAAACAGTCTGGTATTCCCACACATTTATCTAGTAGGGACGTTGGTGGGGGGTGGGGGGAGGGAGGGAGGGACCGGCGACCGACCATCTGTTACCGTGTGAAGAATATTTTTTTTTTTTTATTAACTGAAGATTTTTATTTTAGCTCATACAATTCATACAAATTACCCGGCCAGAATATAATTTACATTGCTGGAATTCTTACAATTTGATGATCATTTTGAATATAAACATCATATATTTTGCATTAGACATAAAATTTTTAGATAGAATGTTTAATCTGAGTAAGTATGTTATCTTTTGTGCAAAATATATGACGTTTATATTCAAATATTCCTGGTCTTACAAGGAATCCAGCAATGTCAATTATATTATCCTAACTGTAATCTGAGGTATTATTTGATACAAAATGTTAAAATTTATTTTTTTCACCCACACTTTCTCTTGAAGGGACGATTGGTGGGGGGTGGGGGGGAGGGTTGGGACTGACCGCGCGGTTGGAAGAGGGGGGGAGGCAAGGTGGGGTACTTTGATTGACAGATAGTGTCGTGAAGAATATTTTTTTTTTATTAACTGAAGATATTTGTTTTAGCTCATAAAATTCATACAAATTACCCGGCCAGAATATAATTTACATTGCTGGAATTCTTACAATTTGGTGATCATTTTGAATATAAACATCATATATTTTGCATTAGACATACAAATTTTAGATAAAATGTTTAATCTGAGTAAATATGTTATCTTTTGTGAAAAATATATGACATTTATATTCAAAATATTCCTGGTCTTACAAGGAATCCAGCAATGTCAATTATATTAACCTAACTTTAGTTTGAGGTATTATTTATTACTATACAGTAGTACCCCGCTTAACGCTGTCAATTGAACCCACAGGGTACCGCGTTAAGTGAAAACCGCGTTAAGTGAACAACAGAACATATGGGATTAATTCCAATAGAGACTGGCCCGACCCCCAAACTCCACTTTTTGACGACACACAACTATGTTGTAGTAAAAATTTTATCTTAACTTTATGATGGTATGCACACACAATTAATAATTAAGAGAAATATCAATAATATTAGGTTTTTTAACACTTGCATTAGTAGAAAAGATGGCTGGGCACACGGGGATGGGGGGTTGGTTCCGAGGCAGAGGGCAGATTATTGGCCCTCACCTGTATCACTTGTATCAATTGTATCACTATCCACCACAGAGGCTTGCAGGGCCTCTTTGTCAAACCCCTCAAAGGCCATATAAGTCCATATCCTCACTATAATTATCACTATCACTGACTTGGGCCGGCTGTGGTGGGTGGCGGGTGAAGAACTCGGTAATGTTTTGATGACTGGGCGACCTTGTGCGCATCGTGCCCGCGCCGCTTCCCGCGTATATGATGAAAAATTCCGCGTTAAGTGAAAGTTCAGCTCTGGCGAGGCACCGCGTATATGATAAAACGCGTTAAGTGAAACCGCGTTAGGCGGGGTAATACTGTACCTGGTTTTCCCCCCAAAATTTCGCAGAGGGAAGAGCCAGCAAGTGTAGTGTGAGAAGTGGGGGAGGGAGTCGTGTCCATTATTTGAATGGACATTAACTTGGCGACTGTATTTCTCTATTTCTCTTAAGTATTAATTGTGTGCATGTACCATCATAAAATTAAGATGTTGTTTTTACTAGAACATAGGTATTGTGTTGGAAAAAGTGGAGTTTGGGGGTCAGCTGGTCTCTATTTCATTTAATCCCATATGTTATGTTATTCACTTTACGCGTTTCTCACTTTCCGCGGTACCCTGTGGGTTACATTAACCGCGTAAAGTGAGGGTTGACTGTACTGTATTTAAGAAAATTATTTATAGATTTACTTGAGAGTATTTCTCGTTAACCCTCGTTTAGTGATTATTTTGCTTAATGATCGTTTTTTCAAGAACACATCCCAATCATTAAACGAGTGATACTGTACCTTTATAGTGTATACAGTAGCATATTTTGTATATTTACAATATACTGTAGGTAATAGGCAGCTACCAAACAGGGAGGTACTACTGGGAAGATATTGGAAGCATAATGTATTGTCTAATGGTAGACCCTGCTGCCATATGGCATCACAAAAATTGTGACCAAGTCCCAGGTTGCTGATCTGACTTTCTGCCTCATTTACACACAATTGCAGGGTCTCAATTATTTCTCTTACTATTGACAACACAACATACATATACCATTTCTCACTATTGATTTTTTATTTATTTATTTTTATTTATTTTGGTTATTTGTTATTATTATTACAATATTGTTATTATTATTATTGTTATCATTATTATTTAATTTTTAGTTTTGTATTTTTATTATAAATTTGATTTACAATGAATTATTATTACATTTTCGCCCCCCAGGCCCCGTTGTGAGGCAGTGACCTGTGCCCGGGTGGGCTAATCCCCATTAAAAAAAAAAAAAAAATGTACAGTAATAGATGATAAATGACTGTCTGACTGCAGTTAAGCCTCCATAGCAATGCTCTATGCCAGATGTGTAGTTTAGACTCAAACATTTGCCAATACAGAACAGCCGCTCCTCGACTTATAACCTACTCGACTTACGACCACACGGACATACGACTGCCCCAGCCTTACCAAAATTTTTTCAAATTACGTATTTTCGAGTCCCGACGTCAGTGAGTGCGCTGTGTACTGACAAAATTTTCGTTTTAATTCCCTTTAAAATGGCTGGCATGCTTAAAAGTGAGTTTTGTGGTGTTGAGAAGAAAAAGAGACACCCATTTTAGATTTTAGATGTATTATCTTCGCATTTTCGACTTACGACCAATTCAACTTATGGCCTGGATTTGGGTCCCTAACCCCGTCGTAAGTCGAGGAGTGGCTCCTGGAAAAATTCTATAAATGTGCGATTTTTTCTGGAGATAAGAATTTGTCTCAATACCAGAAAATCTCTTGGACATGGAGGCATTCTATCTATTGGGAATATTACTACAGTGATCCCTTGGTTAACGAGCACAATCCGTTCCAGCAGGTTGCTCGTTAACCGAAAAACTCGTTAACCGAAACCATTGTTTCAATGGGTTTTTGGGTAATTGGTTCCAGCTCACCGAAAATTGCCTAAATTCAACAAAAAAGGTAGAAAAGTGCACTTACTTTGAGGTGAGTATGTAGAAGGCTCCTGGATGATGATGATGATGATGATGATGATGATGGGAATTAGAATGGGGGTGGAGGAGAAGGGAGAAGAGAAGGCATTGGGGTGGAAGAGAAGTCACCCCATGGCGCCATTTCACCCATAAAATTTTAGTTCTCTTGGTGTAATTCAAGATTCTTTTCTTTAAATCAACACTGCACTGCATTATATATTGTCAATATGTAAAATAAATTTCAAAATGACCAATAATTTGCTTGCAAACACAGAAAAAAAGCGTTTAGTTGAAGAGAGTCTCAAGCAAGTTGTTACCTCCACTGAAAAGTCCGAGAGACTGGCGCCTGTTTGGTGTGTTGCCAGGCTGGATGGCGTGCATGAAACTAGTTTCCTTACCTTCAATTAAGTTCAATAATTGTTAAAATGACTAAAAAAATTAATATTAAACTTTTAAAATTATTGAATAGTATATACTTCTTAATATTTGCTAAAATAGTAAGGAATTTAAGCCCTAAAACCGATTACTGTATTGGCGGACTAATACTGTAGCAGGTGGACCGCCAAATGCAAGCGAAAACATGTTGAGGTCGGCTCGTAAAAAACGCGTTAAACGAGGGATTGCTCGTTAACCGAAGTTAAGAATCTTATGGAAGGTAACTCGTTAACCGAAATCTCGTTAACTGAGGCGCTCGTTAACCGAGGGATCACTGTACAAGTACTGTAATGTACTTCATTTGAAGCATCTTAACAGTGCCTCCTTAACATTATTTTACAAGAAATGGAAATTCCTGTAGTGGTTTCTTCTCATCATTTCTTCTCTCAATACAGGTCAGATATCAGCCCAGAGATGTGTCTTAGAAGTAAAACGATATAGAAAACAATTTAAGGATGCTGCCGATGATTTTATTGAAGAGGCAGTGGTACGATGTGAACTGTCTGACAACTATTGTTTCTATCAGAAGAACTATGACTGTGTTGAAGGAGCTTATAACTGGGCTATAACAACTTTAAATGATCACAAGTAAGTTCACCGAGTGGAAATTTTTATTTAGTAAAGTGTGATAAGAGCTGCGGTATATATGGTACTAGAGAAATAAAGAAGTTGAGTTAACTCACTCACACTTTCTCTCTCTCTCTCTCTAAAAGGTGTTTAAAATGAGCCACAACATGTCACAATGCCAGCCCACCTCTGATAGCTCCCCATCTCAGTCTGCCTCTGACTCTTGTTTGGGTTGCACCTATATTGTAGTGATTGGCTAATCTTTGGTATTTCTTTATTAACACTCGCCTCATTTATAACAAGTACCTCTCCAATGCATGGGCTAGTTGTAACCTTCTTGTCTGGAAGAGTCATGCTGTATCTTTTTTTTCTTCTAGATTTTTTGGCAACCGGTTTATTTTTTTTCGTATCCAACCAATTGATTGCTCTTTCACGTTAAACAAGAAAAAAAAAACAACAAAGAAGAATTAATAATTTTGCCGATGTGAAGTAATAATAAGGCTGGTAATTTGAAAAACCGGAATAACTTGAATTTAAACAACAGTATTAAATTTCACCACAATTGCTTTATTATTTAGGTTCACTTGGTGCCGGGTTAATAAAACATTATCGAAAAATAATTAATTTTCCCCCCCAAATCCCACACTCAATCCCAGATGAGTTATTGGGCCTTAGTATATTCCCGATCTCTTGTTTACAGACCAGTAACAGCTGATGTTATGTATCAATTTTATTGTGTGTTAGAGCAATTTTTGTTAACAAAGTTATAGTACTACTGGTGGCAGACACGCGAATGAGTGACTTCAGTTGCGTTCAGATTGTTGGACCAAATTAGAATTTTTATTGAGTAGGACCAAAGGGGACTAAGTTCAGATACCTGGAAGATCCAAACAGTTGGGGATAAAATGAAATGCGCTGTAGATTAGATAAAGATTACGATATTGGATTTACTTTAGAAGTTCTGCATACAGTGGCCTCATATGAATGGGCGAAGTTATTGGGTGTTACTGGGTCAACACCGCAGGAGTTAAATTTTATCAGGGAGTGGTGAATATTAATTCAGACACTAGACCAGTGCCAATAAGTGGCGAAACTCATGGTTACTATATGCAATAGTATACTAAAAGATGAAAGCGAGTATCTTAGATCTGCATACGGCAGTGAACAGTGAGACACTGTGTGCAGTCATTACCATCGCTTCCACCACTCGCTAGCCAATTTCCGCCAAGACAGAAGCAGAGCTGTGAGAGAACGCCACTTCCTCTTTCCCTCACTCTGTGCTAGCTCCCACCCATGTAATAAATGTTTAATCCCTTTTTGTTTTTGACCTTATGATAATTATTGAAAAAAAAAAAAATCTGTACGAATAATTTTGTGTGCATGTAACAGATTAAGAAAAAAAGAAGAAAATTATGTACATGTACCTGAAAATACGAGTTGAAAAATAACAATACAGTCATGCGCCGGTTAATGTCCTAGATACGTTCTTGGAAACGTGACGTTAACCGAAATGGACGTTGTCCGATCATCACATAAACTTTTTATTTATACTTACGTTATGTGTATGTGGAATACTATCTACTTACATATACACTTTTACTGTTAAATCACTACTGTAATCTGATACAGGTGATTAATTTTTATCTCTTGTGCAAAATACATGACGTTTATATTAAAATTATTCACTGTTTTACAAGGATTCCAGCAACGCCGAGCAGATGGGGGAGAGGGTGGGAGCGAGCGAGGGGGCGTGGGGGGAGGGGAGGGGAGTGGTTTGACAGTTGGCACAGGCCCAGGTCTAATGCGTGTTTATTTATCAGTTCTTAGGTGACTAAGCTTCTCTCTTATAAAAAGCCAGTGAAATAACCTGGGTGAATATAATTAACATAGCTGGGATTCTTGTAACATACTGATTAATTTGAATATAAACATGCTATAATTTGCACTAGACAAAACAATTTTAGTACCGTAATCAAATTAGTACATGTGCACTCCAGCTTTGCACTAAGAAATCTATGTAAACCTACCCAAAAATACAGTTGAAAAACTTTTTTATAAAATGTACTACAGTACTGTACAGGGAGTGACAGTTTGGCAAAAGTTTTCAAGATCTAATTGCTTGGGTTAGATTATTTGTCTATCGGCCACGCTAATTCCGAATATGTTTGAGTTTTTTACATCATTGCATTAGAAGGTTTGTGGATACTTTTGGGTTTGGCATGAAAAATGCGAAAAAACTGTAAATAATAAAGGGACTGGCAATGTGGCACAACCTGTTAAAATCAAGTTATTGAATTGGATTATTCGACTACTGTGTACACTGGTTCATAATATGCTATTGTTTTACAACTCAATGCGCTACAAATTATGCCGATATTTTTGCTGCAAGTCACCACATACGTCTCTCCACTTTCTTCCAGTTAGTCACTTTAGACTTGTCCCCTTCAGTTATGATGTTGTCTGCAGCTCTGATGGTGTTTGCGATGTGAGCCACTGCATCATTGGATACCTTGAACCTGTCAGCAGTTTCTCCGATCCTGTCCTCGGCTTCTTTCTCCCTTTTCCTTTTCTCTGATCTTGCTCTCCTGTCGACCATAGCCTTGAACTCATTGTCATTGACATCCTTATAATCACTATCTTCTTCCTGAGCACTGTCATCCACTGCCGACACTTTACACGACATCCTCTCCATCTCCTCCTTACTCTTTGACCTCATCTTCTCAGTTTTCCTCTCTTCCTCAGCCCTTTTCTTTGCCCTCTTCGCTTCCTTCTCCCTCTCTTCTTTCAGCTTGGCAGTCACAATTTTGTCAACGCCATCAATGCAGCCCTCCCTTCCCGGTTTCCTCTGGGCTGCCAGGAAGCTTTTCTCTCGTTCGTGCACTTTGCTGTCGTCTGCCACATCAAACAACTTCTCAGCTATATCCTCGAACCTCATCTTCAGCTTCCCGTTCTTCGTTTTCTTCCTTTTCTGTTTCTGTCCATTTCCCTTCATCATCATCGTCTCCCTCCGCATCCTCCACAGGTCGTGGACTCTCATTTTCACCCTGATTTCAGAGATAGTGGGGACAGTGGCCTTCCTATACACATCCAGTACCTTCTCAGTCACCTTGTTGGTGGCATCCATATAATCAAAAGCATTTGTTCTTCTCCTTAACCTCTCGTTTTCTGCTTCATAAGCCAGGGCACTTCCAACTTCCTTGTTCAGAGGCAACTTGTTAGATGGCAGAGGCATCCGAACCCCGAACACCTTATCGTTACCCTGGCGCAGCTGAGTGTTGCTAATCTTAGGACGACCCATCTTGGTGGCGGCCCTTTGAACTAACTGCAAAACAACACAGAAAAAACAACTTTCAGCACTTCAATATCACCACCTATTGAACAATATTTTATTCAAAAGTACGGACTGAGATTTTGTCCTTAACTGTCCAAGTCAAGCTACTTGGGCTGAATTCGTTGATCAGTCCTGGGACGAATATTAACAGCGTGAATAGATTCCGTGGAATAAATTCAGGGCATTCCCATCCAGGGAGCCTCAACAAACTCTGTAAATATTGCCATTGGCCTGCCATTGGCACATATACGGAGTTTGGTAATGTTCCATGAGCGGGAATGTCCTGAATTCATTCCACGGAATCTATCCACGCCGTTGGTAATATTGGGCCCTGGTTTTCGAAATATACGTATGTGGTGACTTGCAGCAAAAATATCGGCATAATTTGTAGCGCATTGAGTTGTAAAACAATAGCATATTATGAACCAGTGTACACAGTAGTCGAATAATCCAATTCAATAACTTGATTTTAACAGGTTGTGCCACATTGCCAGTCCCTTTATTATTTACAGTTTTTTCGCGTTTTTCATGCCAAACCCAAAAGTATCCACAAACCTTCTAATGCAATGATGTAAAAAACTCAAACATATTCGGAATTAGCGTGGCCGATAGACAAATAATCCAACCCAAGCAATTAGATTTTGAAAACTTTTGCCCAACTGTCACTCCCTAGTCAATCTACGTTTAACCCGAAGCATACTTAAAGTATATACATTCATGTTAATAGATACGTTTTCGTAGATACCGAAATGGACGTTCCGAAATACGCTCATCACTACTGTAATGTGATACAGGTGATTAATTTTTATCTCTTGAGCAAAATACATGACGTTTATATTAAAATTATTCACTGTTTTACAAGGATTCCAGCAACGCTGGGCAGATGGGGGAGAGAGAGGGTGGGAGCAAGCGAGGGGGCGTGGGGGGGGAAGGGAGGTAGAACGCTTGACAGTTGGCACAGGCCCAGGTCTAACGCGTGTATATTTATCAGTTCTTAAGTGACTAAGCTTCTCTCTTATAAAAAGCCAGTGAAATGACCTGGGTGAATATAATTAACATAGCTGGGACTCTTGTAACATACTGATTAATTTGAATATAAACATGCAATAATTTGCACTAGACAAAACAATTTTAGTACCGTAATCAAATTAGTACATGTGCACTCCAGCTTTGCACTAAGGTCATTTATTTATTTTACGTTTCTTTTAGTATGGTGTGTGCATGTAAATGTATGAAAATAAATGAAGAAATTTATGTAAATCTACCCAAAAATATAGTTGAAAAACTTTTTATAAAATGTACTACAGTATTGTACACTAATGTACTACATTTTTTATATCTTGAGCAAAATATATGATGCTTATATTCAAATTAATCTCTGTCTTGCAAGGATTTCAGCAATGCAAATTATATTATCCTAACTTTAGTCTGAGATATTATATAAAATGAACATAAAGAAATCACCAAACTTTTGTCTGGGAGGGAGGGGGCGGGAGGTGAGGTGACAGAATGTCTGGTGTTTGTTTGTTTATTTATTTGAGATAAGATTTGACAGTTGGCGCTGAAGGCCTGCCCGCGTGTTTATTTATCATTACTTAAGAGTGACTAAGCTCTTCTCATAATTTTCCACCCAAACGACCTGGGTGAATATAACTTACATTGGAGGGATTCTTGTAAGATAGTAATTTATTTGAATGTTTTCTTTTTTTTTTCAATTTAAATTTTAATTGTTTATTCCTTGATAGAGGAAGCGGGATCCTAGTGCTGTCACTTGATACCCCTGTACCATAACACCAGAAGCAACTGGCCAGTGTCACAAGTATATACAGTACAGTACAGTCATCCCTTGGTTATCGCGTCTAATTGGGACCCCGCCGATAATGAAAGTACAGAACCTCTGGGATTTATTCTAATTGGTTCATTTACCCAAGACCCAACCCCAAGTTTCCCATTTTACGACCATTTAGACCCACTAAATATATATATAATGCTATGGTAAATATCATAAACACACATAGGCATGGCTAGGTTTATTACAAATAATGAAAAGGGTACGCTTAATACTGTAGTCCACAGAACATGTAGCTATGTTTTTTTAATTTGGTCCCCCATCATACGAGTCCGTTTTCTCTCACATCAGGACGCCTGAGTCCTCCGTTTTCTCTCTTAATCTTAGAGTGCACCAGAGACTTCGTTATTCTTAGTAATGCCACAGAATTTGAAATTGCAACCCCAATTGCAAACAACTAGATATGTCTGATTACAGCAAATGTGTTATTGTCAATTTGTAGGTGAAAGATTTTATCCTCAATAGATGTAGGTTAACATTTCACCTGTAGGCAGATGCTTAAAAAAGCCTAAGTAAGGAAGCATATTCCTTTAACACATAATATCTAACCAGTATGGGGAGGATCATCATGTCTCCGTCAGGGGGTCGTGGAGTGGTGGTCCAGCAGGCGTCACGTTTTGTTTTGTTTTTTTGGTTTTTGGGGGGGGGGGGCACGGACGTATACAGTATGCGATCGGACGTTGTTCGGTCGGACGTTAACCGGCGCATGACTATGTAGCTCACAGCTTGGCTTGAGGGTGAAATACCAGGGGACATAAAAAAAGGTTTATTCCTTTTTTGTTATTGACCTTATAATAGTTATTTCTTTTAAGTTTTTGCACATTATGTATGTAGGATATAACTGAATACATATAACAATAAAAAAAAGTGAAGAAAGTTAAGTTATCTCTCTGAAACTACGAGTTAATTCTGCCCCCCAGGTCATCCTGCAAATTTTCACTGGTGCATGAAGAAATATTTTCCCCTTTATGTTTTGACCGTATGATAATTATTATTATTATTATTTATTTATTTTTTATTATTAAATTTTTTTGCACATTCTGCATGTAGGATTGTGTGCTTGGAACTGAATGAAAAAAATATACAGTATGAAGAAAGTTAAGTTTATTTTCCCCAAATTACGAGTTGAAAAATAGCCATAACATAACTGCTACCTCAGCCTGGTAAGGAGAGTGCTAGGGAGGTGGGGGGGGGGGTGGCTACCCCAGCTGACTCCTGGAAGTGCGCGATTTGAATTTTTGCTTGGACTCAAATTTGTATAAGCTGGGAAAGCTTTCGTAGCATAAAATAGTGGTATCGATTTAGAAAATTTGTATAGGCGAATCTTCTTATCTCGACGGATGTCTTTTGCACATTCTGTATGAAAGATTGTGTACCTGGTATGTATGTAACATGTAAAAAAAAAAAAAAAAAATTGGGTCTACCCTGACTTTGTGATAAGTCCCGTGCAAGTAAATCTTTTTTATTCCCTTTATGTTTTTGACCTTACAATAATTTTTTTTCTTCACATTTTGTATGAACGAGTGCTTGTGCATGTAACATAGTAAAAAAAATTAAGAAAATTACACATATTTACCCTAAATTACTTGTAGTGACAGCTGGGGGATTGCAACTTGCGACTGTACCTATACGTATCATGTCAGGTAAATGAAAGTAAATTTTTATATTGTATAAATTTATTGTTTTTATGTCTTCATTAAGCATAAATTTATTGTTTTTGTCTTATAAATTATTTGAGTTAGTTTGACATTATTTAATAATTATAACAGCAGAATATAAAACATGTTTGGGCTGTTCAGGGTTTTAGAAATGAAACCTATTTTTTCCCCATACATTATTGTTATCAATATACGATCGATCACTTATCGAAGGCTTTTTGAGGTCCTTAATCCCATTGTATAATGATCATTGCCTGTACCAAGCTTTGTTCCATGGTGATCATGCATGGCCATCATCATGTCACTCAATGATTAGCAATTAGTATCAATATTGTTCCTTTTTGTTTTTTATTTTTTTACCTTACAGAAGACGACATTACTAATGTTCACTCTGTACCCTGTTTTGGTGACTGTGAGATGATTTTTGCTATGCTTTTTGTGACTGTAAATTGTTTTGATACTGTTGTGAATATGATGTGAGCAGTGTCGGCCACATTAACGTTATCATCGTTCACTCTGTTTTTGTGAAAAGTGCTTTCACTCTGTTTTTGTAACTGAAACGTGCAGTGTATCTTTGAAAATGTGTGGGATGTGCAAGGCACCCAGGAAAACCGTGTTTTTAGAGGCGAAGCTTGACATTGTGAAGCCTCTCCAGACTCCCTAGAGGCTGTGTAGGAGTCAGAGTGACATCTCCACTCCACCTTCAAGAGTCCCCTTAGCCTCAAAGGGGACATGCAATGACGACCAGGCTTGTTCTTAATGATGTGGTGAGTATTGTTTAATTGTGTTGCAGGTCTGTTATTAGTGTTGGATTTATTTTTTCTTTTCTGTGATGCATATGGGTGTCCAACTGGCTGGGAATGTATCCCATTGAACCCCATGTTATAATGATCCCAATTTATGATATTTCGACCTGTGATGGATTTTTCAGGAACCTAACCCCATCATAAATGGGGATACCTGTACTGTGTATTGTGCATATAATGTAATAATTGTTTTAATTTCTATAAACCCATAATTATAAAGAAAGCATAAATATATGTTTTGAATACATCCTCCAAATGAGTGATGGTTAAAAAATTATGTTACGGTACTGATAAATATCGTGAGTGGCCACGTAACATGATGTTGTGTGGTTACACATGACAGACAGTCAAGGATGTGGTGAAAAGGTTAATACATACAGTAACCAATGGTCCAAGTTCTTAATGGGTAAAAGTGTTGTTAATGCTGCTGAAAAGAAGAGAAAATTTGAGCAATGAAAATCATGAGAGGGTAGGATTAAGATCAGCTTTTAACCTTTTCACTATTGTAGTACATCAGTTTTAAGTTTGGCTAATGCCAGATGATTTTATTCAGTACTGAGAGGCCCCACATATACTAGGGGTTAAATAAATGACATTCAAGCACTATGGGTTCTTGTTGAGCCTTGGAATTTTTATATTCAGTGTGTTTTTTAATAGAATATTTTAATTGGCATGGAAAAGTTTTTAATTCTGGCTCCTCTGTATAAATTGTTCACAGATTAGTTTTATTCTTTTACAGGAAAGATACAAGACAATACTTGTACTCTCGGGAGGCATTCATTGAAGCTCAAACACATGATGACCTCTGGAATTCAGCTCAGGTTAGTTTTTTAGATTCACTGATTAATACATTATTAAATATTTCAGTGAACAAAATGCAAAGTTATTATTTATAGTATTTGTACACTCTTTTGATGAAAAGAATGTACATGTTTAGGAATGACCTCTCGTAGTGAAGAAGTTAAATCTGTTCTCAGGTAACACCTTTTTTTTTTTACTCTAGCTATTGCCATATGAATTTTTTCAGCTTCCAGGCAGAGAAAACATGAATGAAGGCAGGAGGGAAGGAATTGATGTTAACAGAGACAGTGATAATCAAGATACACAGTGTTAATACACATTTTCATTTTAAGTATTAGTGACATGTTATGCAATGCTTTCATGCAGCTTCAGATTTATTGCTGAAAATGCCTTATTGTGAATGTCATGAAGCATGAAAAATACTTATTAGCAACAATAGTGTGAATAATCTTACGTCTGGATCCTCAGTCATGAATCATCCTGCAGCAATGTCATATATTTTTTGATAACATTATTTTCCCACATTTTACACATTGATACTAATTAAGTTATATACTGTACAAGAAATGTATACTTAGGCAATATCCGATCATATATATTAAATAAATAGCCATTTAAAGCATATCTGTCAACTCTTCCCATACAGTAAGGCCAGATCACTTGGCTCGTATCATACACATAAAGTTGGAGTGAAATTATGCTGTTGACTGTACAGTACAGTGGTCCCTCGGTTAACGAACACAATTCGTTCCACAGAGTCGTTCGTTAACCGAATCCATTATTTCAATGGGATATTGGGTAATTGGTTCCAGCTCACAGAAAAGTACATACAGTAGGCTCTCGCCAATCACGACTTCCACAATAACGTTTTCGACAATAACGGTAAGTTACAATAGATACCCATTTTCGATAATAACGTCTGGATTCTCTTGAATAACGGAGATTTAGTGGGAAGCGTCCGAGCGCATCAATGATAGCGTTTGTTTGCCGCCATGTTGATGACGTAGTTGTCCGCTCCGCCTCACTCTCACACACGCTCTGTGGAATACAGCACTGCGCCCACGTGTGAGATTTTCGCCTCTATAAACAGTGGTTGCTAGGGTCGGTGATCAATAATGGCTTCTGCATTTTTGCCTGTGGGGGTTAGGGGAGGTGGTGGAGGGAGTGATTTGCCGCCTGAACGCCCGGGAACTTTTAAAGTGAATGAGAAAAAAAAAGATCCCAAAGCTAAGAGTCAAAGCCACAAGAAATGTGCCTACTCGGTCAAGGATAAAGAACAGATTGTTGAGCTCATTGAAAGTGGTGCACAGAACACTGATATTGTGAGGAAATTGAACTGTCCTGAGTCTACAGTGCAAAATATTAAGGTAGTGATGGAAATGCGAGGCGAGCTATGAATGATGAAAGTGATTGAAACAGGTTGTCAGTGATAACAGAGCATTTTCTTTTGAAATGGTTAGCTTGTAGAATGAAAGACAGTGCAAGTCTTAGTGACCCTCAGATATGGAACGATCATCACACCAAGCACCTCAAAAACTCCCCCAAGCTAAGTGTTATATTACTCAAACTCTTTATTTTGATGATTGAATACCAATTCTTTTTATTTCAGCAAACAAAAAGTGTTAGGAGGGCTTCTAAGGGGGAAAAATTGGGTGAAATTCTTGGGGCGGCGGCACCAATAAACCCTTTTTACATGTATTTTAATGTCACACAAATAACGTTTTCGCTAATAACGGCGTTTCTCAGGCACCTATTAAACGTTATTGGCGAGAGCCTACTGTACAAAGTAAAACCAAAAACGCATAAAGTCAGAAACACTCCTAAAATTCCCCTAAATCGCTGGTGAGGTCGTTGATTATATGTATGTATGTATGTATGTATGTATGTATGTATGTTTGTATGTATGTATGTACACCTAGACCCCGACTTACGACGGGGTTAGGGACCCAAATCCAGGTCGTAAGTCCGACTTGGTTGTAAGTCCGACATAGATAAAAAAAAAAAAAATTTAATAAAAAATCTACAATGAAATACAGTACAGTAAAAGTAATGAATAATGATGAATGGATACAGTACAGTGAAAGTAATAAATAATAAGGAATGGTTACAGTGTGACAGCACTTACCTTTAATGTAGTCAGCTGAATGCACATGGGGCCCCCATAATTTTCTAATTATACATGGAGACTACATTAACTGGAAACGTTTCGGTATAGAAAATGCGTGTGTGAAAACAATCTAATAAAAAATCTGAGGCGGTCGTAAGTCCCGACAGTCGTAAGTCCCACGTAGTCGTAAGTCGGGGTCGTATGTATATATATATATATATATATATATATATATATATATATATATATATATATATATATACCTCGGTTAACGTAATTTCGATTAACGAACTACCTTCCATAAGGATCATCAATTCGGTTAACAAAAAAAAATTAGGTTAACGAAGTTCTTACGAACCGACCTCAACATGTTTTCGCTTGCACTGACCGGGCAACCAGCTTTAGTATCAGTCCACCAATACATTAATCGGTTCTAGGGCTTAAATTCCTTACTATTTTAGTAAATATCAAGAAGTTTATACTATTCAATAATTTTAAAAGTTTAATATTCAATTTTTTAGTAATTTTAACAATTATTGAACATAATTGAAGGTAAAGTGACTAGTTTAATGCGCGGCATCCAGCCTCTTAACACAGCAAACAGGAGTTAGTCTCTCTCTGTTTTCACTGGAGGTAACATCTTGCTTGAGACTCTCTTCAACTAAATGCTTTTTTTCTGTGTTTCCAAGCAAATTATTGGTCATTTTGAAATATGTTTTACATATTGACAATATATAATGCAGTGCAGTGTTGATTTAAAGAAAATAATCTTGAATTACACCAGAGAGCTAAAATTTTATGGGCAAAATGGTGCCATGGGGTGACTTCTTTTCCACCCCAATGCCTTCTCTTCTTCCTTCTCCTCCACCCCCATTCTAAATCCCATCATCATCATCATCATCCAGGTGCCTTCTACATACACACCTCAAAGTAAGTGAACTTTTCTACCATTTCTGTTGAATTTAGGAAATTTTCGGTGAGCTGGAACCAATTACCCAAAAACCCATTGAAACAATGGTTTCGGTTAACGAACTTTTCGGTTAACGAACGACCTTCTGGAACGGATTGAGTTCGTTAACGGAGGGGTCACTGTATATATATACACACACATACATATACACTCTTACTCTTAAATCACTACTGTAATGTGATACAGGTGATTCATTTTTATCTCGTGCAAAATATATGACATTTATATTCAAATTATTCACTGTCTTGCAAGGATTCCAGCAATGCAAATTATATTCTCATAACTTTAGTCTGAGATATTATATAAGATAAAAACTGTAAGCCTAAAACCCTGGCTGGGCAAATGGGGGGGAGGGGGGTGAGGTGATATGTTTGACAGTTGTTGCCCAAGGTCTAATATGTGTTTATTTATCAGTCCTTAAGTAACTAAGCTTCTCTCTTATAAAATGCCAGTGAAATGACCTGAGAGAATATAATTTACATTGCTGGGATTCTTGTAAGATAATGATTAATTTGAATATAAACAAGCTATAATTTGCACTAGACATAACAATTTTAGTACTGTTATCATTTAGTACATGTACACTACAGGTTTGCACTTAGGTCATTTATTTCTCTTACGTTTCTTTTAGTATGGTGTGTGCATGTAAATGAATGAAAATAAATGAAGAAATTTATGTAAATCTACCCAAAAATACAGTTGAAAAACTTTACATTATAAAATGTACTACCGTACTGTACACTAATGTACTAAAAATTTTATCTCGTGAAAAATATATGACATTTATATTCAAATTATTCACTGTCTTGCAAGGATTCCAGCAATGCAAATTATATTATCCTAAGTTTAGTCTGTGATATTATATAAGATAAACATTTAAAGCCTACTGTATAACCGCCAAACCCTTGCTGGGGGGGAGGAGAGGTGACAGTGACATGTTTGACAGTTAGTGCCGAAGGTCTAGTGAAGTATTTATTTGTTTATTTAAGTCCTTTAGATTGAGTTGTTGTTTTTTGCTTATAAAATTTCATAGAAGTGACCGGGAAGAATATAATTTACATTGCGGTAATTTTTATAAGATAGTGATTAATTTGAATGTAAACATGCAATAGTTTGCACTAGATTAAAATATTAGTACAGTGGTCCCTCGGTTAACGAACTCAATCCGTTCCAGCAGGATGTTCGTTAACCGAAAAGTTCGTTAACCGAAACCATTGTTTCAATGGGTTTTTGGGTAATTGGTTCCAGCTCACCGAAAATTTCCTAAATTCAACAAAAATGGTAGAAAAGTTCACTTACTTTGAGGTGTGTATGATGATGATGATGATGGGAATTAGAATGGGGGTGGAGGAGAAGGAAGAAGAGAAGGCATTGGGGTGGAAGAGAAGTCACCCCATGGCACCATTTCACCCAAAAAATTTTAGTTCTCTTGGTGTATTTCAAGATTATTTTCTTTCAATCAACACTGCACTGCATTATATATTGTCAATACGTAAAATATATTTCAAAATGACCAATAATTTGCTTGGAAACAGAAAAAAAGCATTTAGTTGAAGAGAGTCTCAAGCAAGATGTTACCTCCACTGAAAACAGAGAGACTAACGCCTGTCTGGTGTGTTAACAGGCTGGATGGCACGCCAGAAACTAGTTTCTTTACCTTCAATTATGTTAAATATTTGTTAAAATGACTAAAAAAGTTAATATTAAACTTTTAAAATTATTGAATAGTATAAACTTCTTGATATTTACTAAAATAGTAAGGAATTTAAGCCCTAGAACCGATTAATGTATTGGCGGACTGATACTAAAGCTGGTTGCCCGGCCAGTGCAAGCGAAAACATGTTGAGGTCGGTTCGTAAGAAATTCTTTAACCGAATTTTTGTTAGTTAACCGAATTGAAGATTCTTATGGAAGGCAGTTCGTTAACCGAAATTTCGTTAACCGAGGCGTTCGTTAACCGAGGGATCACTGTATTCATTTTGTACATTATGCATGTAAATGAGTTTCAATGAATGAATAAAGTAACATAGATCGAGCCAAAAATAATAGTTGAAAAACTTTATGTAGACAGAGATTGGATGGCTAAATTTTGAATGACCAATAATTTTAATATAAAAAATGCACAAATATTAAATAGCACAATTTTCTTGATATTTACTCCACTGATCCCCAACCCCACCTCCACCACAAATGAGAGATGAGTTTATGCACAATGGGTGACCTGACATTGCATCAGTTCAAGTCAGTAACATAATCACTAATCCCCCACCCCACCTCCGTCCCAAGTGTTAAGACGTGATTATTGTACAATTGCGTATTACAGTACATTCAGAAGAGTGGACAATGTCTGCCTACTTTAGGCTCAAGATGATAGTACATTATTTTGTTTACAGTACAGTAGTATTAACAATATATTGTACAGTTCCGTGCAAAAACTGGACCAATGGCAGTCTATGAAAAAGTGCCAGGTTAAAGTGCAATACAAACAGTTTAAGCAATGAAGAAACAAAGGAATTACCATTTCTGGACCAATGCTTTGTGATAAAGCTAACGAGTTTCATGAGGAACTGAAAATTCCACAGCACTGCAATTCCACCATGTGCTGGCATTAGGTGCCTAGAGCCCCAGCTTAATCCCCATGTTTGGTGAAAAGAAGATGATTGATTGATTGTGGTAATTACATCCCTGGCGACTCAACAGTGTCGGTTATGTGTTGCCAAATTAAAATAAAACCATAAAAGACTAAAATCAAATAATGCAAGGTAAAAATCTTCATAAATAGCATCGAACTTTTGTAAAAATGGTGAAAAGAAAAGTACAATAAGAAGGAGTAAGAATAAGAAGAGTAAGAAGATGGAGTAAGAAGTGAGAATAAGAGTAAGGAAGAGTGAGAAGAAGAATAAGGAGTGAGAAGAGTAAGTAGGAGTGAAACAAAGAATTAGAAGAAAGAATAAGGGTAAGAAGATGAACCATTATCAACAATTTATATGGGTTAAAAGTTATAGAAAAGGAATAGGTCTGTGGAGGCTTGCTCAGAGTTCTTCACTGGTGGTAGATAAACAACAACTGAGGCAGGCCAATCTTGGTTATCTGAGGGATTACAGTACTGTAGTGTATATTCATATGTTTACCATTAAATTTTACTTTTTCCTCATGTGTATTCACTTTAATGTTAGATTTTTACTGTTTAATTAACAATAATATTGATAGGAATTTTTTTTGCATTTTTATGTATAGTTTTATCATATTTTGGGGGCAAATTTTTCCCCATGGAAACATATCTCCAGGTACAGCATATATGGTCCAGAAAAACGAAATTTCATGATGAATCCAAATTTGATTACTGAGTTTGGATAGAGCAGTTCAATTCCCATCCTTCTCCCTTGGGTGTGTCCCACATTATAACTAAACCTAAACAGACTGGGTCACACCTTCACTGTTAATTTATTACACATTTACTGAAAGGCTTTATATGGCAAGGACTGATGTACGGGTCAGAAGATTGGACACTTTCAGCAAACACCAGAAAGAGGTTGGAGGCCTTTGAAATGTGGTGTTATAGGTAAATGCTAGGAATAAGCTACACACAGGAAAACAAATAAAGTACAAAGAAAAGCAAAAACTTCAAGAGAAATCCACTAATTGAAATGGACAGAGAAAAAATTAGATACTTTGGTCATATAATTAGGGATGAGGGGATGATAATAGAAATACTAATGGGCAAAGTTGAGGCTAGGAGGGCCAGGGGAAGGTAGAGACTGGGATGGAGGAATGGAATTAAAAACTGGATCCCCAGAGAGATACAAAACCTTGGAGGATTGGTAAAAACTAAAAACAGCCCGAGAACATTTGGATTAGAGGACTGTGGTCACCAACCTTCAGATATGAGTACAGTATTAATTTTGGTTGATTAGCTCATAGCCATCACATAGCTGCAGCTTTTTTTGGATTAAGCTTCCACTGTAGTAGGTTAAGACTTCCCAGGGTTCCTTAGTCATGTGATCCTGATTCATTTATGTTCCAAGGATTTCAGAATCACTCCCTTATGTTTTTTTTATATGTTTGTATGTATGGTGTACATTATGTTTCCTAATTTATTATATCTACACAGATCCAGCTTGTGACGGAGGGAAAGATTCATGGCTTTATGCGCATGTATTGGGCTAAGAAAATTTTAGAATGGACAGCTACTCCAGAAGAGGCCTTAGAAACAGCAATTTATCTCAATGATAGATATAGTCTTGATGGGTGTGACCCTAATGGATATGCAGGTAAGTTTTTCACATGATGGTTGTTTTCCCTACTTAATTATGAAAAGATGAAAGCTTGTGATTAAGTTTAATGCACTAAAATATGGTAAATAATTTTGGCAGTACAGTACCTACCGTATATCTCGGCCTATAAGACGGAATTTGAACCTTAAAAATATCAGCCCAAAATTAGGGGGTCGTCTTAAGCACCAGGTCTAAAATTCTTACCTCTTAAATATTGTGGTTTAGCGTGTCAAGAGTGGTGATGGATAACATCGTAAACCACTCACAAGGTCCTACCACTAATTATTTTATACTG